GAGCTGCCAAAGAAAACAAAGGGGAGAAAAGCAGCAGAAAGTGGCACCTTGCAGCGGCTCAGGCAAGCGTGTAACGGTGGAGCAGAAGACAGCACCGAGGCACGTGTTTCCCCCATTCTCCACTCAACAGCACAAACTGCAGCTCCGCTCTTCTCCCTGGCATCGCTCAGAGGACCAGGCACGATCCAGCCCCCGGCCCCGGTGCGTCGGAAACACCCCACAGCCACGGGCAGGCAGGCAGGGATCCCACTGGAGCACGGCTCAGCTCGGGGGGGCTCGCAGACCCACCACGCTTCCGACTCCTAATTCCGGCTGCCCCGCTCTCCCTGGAGGACAAGCCCGGCCGGGGAGCTCTGGGGACGCTCTCCGAACAGCAGACGAGGCTGCGTGGCTATCGCTTAGGATTAGAGTGAAATACGATCGGCTCGCTCTCCTAAAAGCACGACCGCAGGAGCAAAACTCCTCCTTTCCTCAGCCAGCAGTGCAAACTTCTGAACCCGGCACGCAGAAATAGAAAAGCACTTGTGCGCCTCTGTGGACTCAGGGAGAGGAAAAATAACACTCCGGGCTTGTAAACTCCACAAGCATCCTGAACGGAGTGCGCTGAAAACATTTGTGCCCCTGTTCCTAGCGGTAACACGAGGAAAAAGAAACAAAAGACAAGTGCATAGACACAAACAAAAACCGTGCATGAGGAGACGCTGTCAGAGCCCAGACTCCCACTGGTGTGATTGCTGCTCACAATACAGGTTTCCCAGCTGTGCTCTGGTCTCCCACCTCCTCTTTAAAGCAGCATCTGGCTTTAAAGCCAGACCCCACCAGCAGCTGCCGCGATGCCTCGCCCTGCCCAGCACCACCGCTGCTTCCAGGAGGGAGCAAGCCTGGCAGGGGACAGGCAGTGTTTTAAAGCAGACAGAAGCTGGCAATACACAGCACACGGGCACCCCGACACCATGTGCTTTGAAAGGTTTTTTTACCAAGAAACCCACAAGTTTGTGTCTTGTGGCAATAGACCTGAATGTATCGGGCACCCAATAAAACCAGGTCAGTGAATCTTGCAGGAGAAGCTGGTATCCAGGAACCAGGAAAAAAAAATAAAAGGTGTTACCTATCTGAAGAATAAACATTAATGCCTTAATTTCCTAATGGCTGATGAAGATGTTAGCACAAGAACTGGAACCTTAAGAAAACAAGGGTAGAGAGTTTCAGCTATCACGCTGTCAGCCAGGTTTTTGCTGTGGCCGAACACGCCCTGATCCCCTGGCAGATGCTCTCGTGGCCCTCTGGATCCTGCTGCACGGCCTCTTCAAAAACCCTCAAAAACACAGACTTGGGCTTTTTCTGAGAGTTTTGGTTCCCTGACTCATAATGAGCATAAGGTTTAAGCCACTGACTGGGAGGCAAAGAGCTAAGTACTGTATCAGATTTCCCTATGAATCAACCGCGCACACCAAAGTGACCTTTGGCTCCTCCAGCACAATACAATGGGTTGGCCAACTGTCTTCTGTAAATAATTTAATAGGCTGCATTTAAATTGAGCTCGCCTGGCGAGGTAATGTATATGTACGTACAGTGGCCTTCCAGCACTCCCCGAAGTGGCGGTGCAGTGGGACTGTGCGGGTGGGGAAATGGGAGCACACACCGCTAACAACTGCTCTTCTCACCGTGTCATCGCTGAGTACTTCATTTTTTGAGGTTTTCTTCCTAAAAAGACATCTCTCGTATGGCTTTTTTGTTTTGTTTTCCTGCTGAGAGAGAGACAAGAGACTTGGGCAGGGTTTTGGGGAGGGGATTGTTTTGTTTGTATAGTTTAGACCTTTTCTTGTTTAAAAGAAGATTTTGAGAATGTGGGGTGACAACCCCCCAGACAGACTTTCAACCACTGGAATATACACTTCATCACAGTCCGTGTTCAAATAGGCAGGATTTTGTGTAAAAACTGAAGGTCATGTTTTAAGTCAACTTACTGTTTCTTTTGAGAAAAAGCCATCATTTGGAATTGCCAGTAACAGACAGGGAACTGTAAACTACCACAGCTATTACTGCCTAAATTATACAGACCCAGACATATAAAAACCCTGGCAGGAACTGCAGGATCACAGGCATCTCCTCTCCACTGTGCTTCTCAGAAGCAGATTAGAGAAAGCAACAAGAAGGATACCATGTCAGGCTAACCCAAAATGCCAGAGTAAATCCCACAGACCTGCCCAGAGTCTTGGCAGTCATTTAATTTTAAGAATTTTCCTGACCTGTCTGGAGCTCTGGCTTTTTATCATGGTGCTGAGTCACTACCCGATGATGCAAGGGAGAAAACATTGCTGTAGGTGATTGACCATAACATTTCCACTGTTACTGTAAATACAAAGTGGTGCAACACTTGGTTCAGAGTTTGGTATTATTATATTTTGTTGCAGGAAAAGATTATTTGCGATACTGTCATTACCACAAAATGCTTTTTATTCATAGGTGATGAGAAGCTAAGTATTGGTGTACATTGTTGCACAGTTGAATCAAAGTAAATTTGTGATTTACTATTTGCAAAACAATACACACAGAGGCGTTAACACAAATGGAATTACAGGTTAATCCGTGCTTTAATCGGTAGCCAAATGCAAGGCCAATGAGTCGAAAATTTCAGCATCTTACACACTGTAGGGGAATCAATTTAATTTTGCAACACACTTTGCAAAGCCCCTTAACAGAAACAAGGTACACATCTAATAAGTTTAGATCATTACCCTCCTATTTTCTCCCTTATGAAGTTGTCATGCATGTAAATAGGCTTCATATTTTCCAGGTTACGCATATAAAGATTAAGGCATTATGTTTGCTTCACTTAATACAAACCCATCTCAGTAATCTCAGTAAAGACCATGGAGTAATCACAGAAGAGGAAAACTAGAGCTGGATGTAGAAATCTAAATTGCTCCTCCTCCCAGTTGTTTATTGTTGTTGTTGTTTTATTATTTTTTTTATTATTATTACAAACAAGAGTAAATATGCGTAGCCTCACACACTGTCAGGACTTTCACCATCTATCACAAACTTGTTCTTCAAAGAATTCTCTACAAGTTAAGCAAACACATATATGTAGCTCACAGCCACTGTGTTTCCCTCAGGCCAGGCAAACAAAAAATGTTGCAAGGAAAAGGTTTCGGTTCAGTGTAAAAAAACATCAAAACAGAAAGAAAAAAAAAAAAAACAACCCTACAGACATGCTCTGTTTTCGGCTGGGCTGTGGTTTTTGGCACAATTCATGTGTTAATTTAATTTGTACATTTCCTAGTCTATCATTTTTGATGACTCAACCAGACAGCAACAGCAGTGATTCACCAGCACAGCTTCCTAGGGTAGAGACTGCTCCAGCAACCGAGAGGACACCTCCCACTGAGGCTTCCCAGGTATTTTCCTTCAGGTGATAACAACTCATCACCAGCCGGTAATCATGAAGCCTTTTGGATTAAGCACAGTCAAAAGCCCATTGAAAGCATCCCGCCTGTAGACTCAACCGCTCACCCCACAGCTCTCACTGGGGCGGGTGCAGGGCGTAGGGTGCCCTGAGGGACTCTCTGTACCTGAAAGAGCCCCCAGCACCATCAGATCATCCACACATGGTCACCTCCCCAGCACTGCTGATCATTTCCAGGCAGAGACATGGGGGAAATTCAGTAGCTACAGGAAGCTTGTGGACCTGGCCTTCATCTGAGGTCTTCATCTAAAGCACGTCTGTTCTTACAGGGACCCTGTAACACGCTCAGATAGCAAAACCACACAGTAATCCATATTCCTAAATGATTATTTATGGCAAGGCTGAGACAAAGCACATTTTGGCATTACAACAGGGCCTGAAATGTCTGGGTAATATGGTATCCCTTTTTGTACGAAGCAGATAGCCAGAAACTCTTTCCCTTCCAAGCTGAATGGACCGCAGAGAAGAAAAAAATAATAATGAAGGGGGAAGAAAAAAGAACAAAAATGAGATCATTTGCCCCAGATTGCAGAAAGGATAAGCACCAAAGCTAAGAAAAGAAAGTAAGTCTCCTGGCGACCAGCCTCGTAACCTACTTCAGTAGGCCCTGCCCTGCACAGAAAGCACTGCCTGTTAATTGTGTCACAGCCATTACAGAGCCTTGGGAGGCCCAAATTACACATTAAAATTTCAATTACTTTGGTGCCAATTTTGTCCTTTTTAAAAACTGTTTTAAGCTTAAAAATACACAATGCACCACAAACGAGCACCTAAAATAGAAGGTGGTCGGGCTGGGATCCCGAGGCTCCCAGCCTCAGCTCAGCCTTCATGGACGGCCACAGACACTGCAGCAGGCCTCGGGCAGCTCCTCACAAGGGACCTGTCACCAGCGTCCCTCCTTTCCACTTCTGTACCCCTGGAAGGGGTCACCGAGTCACGTCAGGCAGTTCTTTTCCCTCTGACAAGAGGTGTACCTGCCTCAGTAAGGAAGTTCCCTCAAAGCAGGGGGCAGTTTCCAGAAATCAGCCTTCACCTGGCTCTCCTACAGCAGGACCTGCTCGGCTGACTAAAAACACAGTCGTGATCTTTGGGTTTTGCTCATCAGCATAGTTCCAGGATGGATGTGCAACCAGAATTTCAGAGGAAACCCCCTGTGAATTTGGAGGGAGTCAGGCAACCACTGACTGCAGGAGACGCCCCCCTGGCCCACACTGGGCTCCCTCAGGGAAGGATGCTGGCATTCCCAGCAGCACCAAGGCAAAGGGCTCAGGCAGCTTTATGTTTCAGGCAGCTTTATGTCACGGCAGCCAGCAACAATTTTTGAAATAAAGCAGGTTGCAGCTATTAGCAAAATAACAAAACACCTTTCCTCCCAGAACACCAAGGTTTCACCTAAGGCAACCACTAACAGGATGCTGATGAGCTGGGGGCAGAGCCAACCCCCCAAAACCCCCCAAAACACACACCCACGCCCCAAACCCACACCCACACACCCCAAAACCCCGCAGCACTACGCGGGGCAGGGCTGGAAACCACCGCATCCCCCAGCCCCGAGGCCGGGGAGCCGCCAGGCGGCAGCGTGCAGCAAGGCACGGCTCTGCCGCCGCCCTGCGCCCTCCCAGGGAGGAGGAGGATGGAGCCCGGCAGAAAAAAGGCTCTTCCTCCTGAAAAATAAAAAATGCGCTTTTAATCCTCCCGAAGAAGCGCCCTGGGAAGCCCTGCGAACAAACAGGACGCCAAGGAACAAAGCAGGAGGCGCTGGCGCAGCGTTATTAGCCTGGATTAGCGAGGGGCGGCAGGAGCCACGCGGGGAAGGTGAGACACTGGTGACTTAGCTTCCAGCAATTCGCTCACACAAAGCTGTTTCGATCTCTCGGCTTAAAACGTAATGAACTATTTTAGTGATGTGTGTTTTTTTTTTTTGACTCAGGTGTGACTCCTCGTTAAGACTGCTCTACCGAAAGCTCCCGCTCTGCCTGCAGCCGCTGCCTCGATGCCAGCCTAGTAGTTCTGAGCTGTGATTTCATAATGTGAAATCTCTTTAAAAAATAAAACAGTAAAAAATCTCTCCACCACTTCTTCTCTGAAGCCAAGGTCTGGCCAGGTAAATCCTCTGCTCGCAGCTGTTAGCCAATAAATCCCAAGTGTTGATCGTCCATGAAGATTAATTATCTTAAATACGGAATTTTAGAGGAGGGAATAAGTGTTCTCCCTGAAGAAGAGCTTTTATTTTTTTCCCTACCACTCATTTAATCACAAGAGGTTATCAGCAACAGTTCGGCACAAAAAGCCACCTGCATGGGCCAAGGAAGGAGCCCCAGAGGTGCTACAGCAGCCAGCCAGCACTGGGGCGTGTGGGTGCTGCAGGACCACACTGACCCTGACCCACTCCCAAGACTGCTGACCCCACTGACACCAAGACTGCTCTAAACAAAACCACCCTCTGCTTCTTGGCAGGCTCCTCTTACTTACCTTTCGTAAAACCCTTTACTGCTTCACCTATATTCCTCTCCCCTTGTCCTCTTAGCCCTCCTGAACACTGCTGTGAATGCTAGTTTACTCATCATATGCTGTTTTCATACTAAAATGGGGCTCAAAACACTTTTAAGTCCTCAATATGTACATGAAGCCCTGCAGCACACCAGTTACATGAGGAATTTAGAAATAAGAGTTTTTGGTGAAGCACAAGAAACTTTTACTAGGTCATCCAAGCTTCTCATGGAAATGCTGACAGCCTCATTAAAAACAACTGAAAGTCAGTTAAAAACAAACTGTATAAGAAACATTTATTCACATACAATTGAGGACCTTTCTGCTAGCAGGAAAGTACCCTAGATGACTAAATATATGTCTTTATTTCCCACTTCTCTGTTAAGGGGATACCAGGGAAACTGGAGTGAAGATATGCCTGTTTGCTTTGAGGTAGGAAAGCCCTCTGCTGGTTAACATAAACTAATTAACACACTAATCTGAATGTTTTTATAGATAACAGAACCACACACACACACACAAAGGAGAGAGTGGTTAAGGAAGAGGCAGAGAAAAATCATCGGTGATCTCAGAAATTGTCATTCTTCAGCTTATTTACTAGACCCATAAATGCAAAGGGTAGATTTTTTTATTTTTTTTCCCCTCCTGTTTCTAACTTTAAACACTCTTTGGCTTACAAAATACATGCTTTAATAAATGTTATTAGTTATTTGCAATAATCAAGTGCAAAAAAGGAACTTCAGAACCCAGTGAGATGCATGGGCAGATTTGAGCGCTCCAACACTGAAAAAGCAGTTTATATACACATTATAACCAGGTCTCATGTTTGCCATGCAAAACAAAGGAAACAATTCCTTCCTATAATATGCGTGCTGTTTGCACTCATCTTTTTGTCTCATGTCATGTCTCTTTAAAACATATTTTAAAATTAATTCACAGCCAAAACAGTGAAATTACTTGATCTTACTAGCATTGTACTTATTTCTTTTCTAGGAAGCGAGCTAGGAATGAATTATTTCTGTAAACAATGCATAACTAATATCAGACTTCAGAAGGCAGACAGAAAGGTCACTTTTGCATGTGTGCGCCCAGGTACAGGATGGCTGCTGTGTTGTTTCAGTGCAGCTGTACGTTTGCATGCCTGCTTAGTCTGGTAAGCGCCGAGGAAGTGTTGCAACTCTGGAGAGAATTTGTAAATGCAACCCAGCCCTGCCACGCCCAGAGGAATGCTGCAATCCCCTCTCTTCCCCACAACAGGCTCTAGGTTAAAAGAGACTCAATTCTAGGCGGAGGATGAGCGCAAGGAATGTTGCTGACATGCAGAGAGCGAGGAGGAAAACATGGAGCTTGTGTCTCAGTTACTGCCCTACATCGTTCCATTTAATCCCAATCAAAACAGCCCTGTTAAAAGCCTGATAAAAATGCACGAGAAAAGAAAACTTCTAAAATAACATATGGCCTAAGTATGCGTACACGCTCTCTCTATGTGGAGTATGTATTCTGTGTGTGCTCACTCCGTATGTACACGTCCATGTATTCAGCAGGAGCACCAACTGTGACAAATGAGAAAAATTCCCCCCTGCTATTTCCCCTTCTGCTGTATCCAGGCCTGAAACCAACTTGGATTCTCCTTTGCAAACCTGAAACACTTTAATATTTTTCCCTACCAGTGACAGTTTCCAGGGGGAACAAGACCCAAGAACATAAAATAACAGTTGGCAAAGCCACTCATGGAGGTGGCTCCAAGTGGGCAGTACGGAAAACACACAGCCAGAGAGAGTTCCTATTCACCGGCTGCCAAAACAAGGTGAGGACAGAAGGGAAAATGAAAACCCCAAATTATCCTGAGTAGAAGAGCACACAGGATAAATCAGGACATGCATGCTAGCAGCAGGAACAATGCTAAGCTGCCGCTCAACCACTGGCATGTGAAATAATCAGCCTCAAGAGAACAGCTGTTTAGTTGGGGTTAAAAAGCTGTGAGTGTCAATTTTGAAATTGTTGCCTGTTGCTCGGCACAGAGACAACCAAATCATGGATTTGCAATGTAGTTTGTACCATAGCATCTTATTTACATATCTGAAGAAAGCACATCTTCTGGCACAGCACTTACTTAGTGAAATATGGGGTGGGAGGGGTAGAAAGTGAAAGAGCAATCATATATTATTGAAATTACAGGTGTACAAAATGTTTGTTCATCAGATACTAATCTGTTGAGAGCACAGTAGATGTCTCCCACAATACTAACACTCCAAATCGGCTTCTCCTGGGGAGGAAAGAAACCGTGCAGAAAGCAGACTTCCTGACTTCCAGAAGCTACTTCCAACCACTGCTCAATATTTCAGGCAGTTTCATCAAGGCAAAGATGCACACCTTGATACTCATTTTCAAATGAAGTCTCCCTGACATGTCAGTATTAACCAGCAGACTGAATTACGGGCTTAGGGTTCACTGAGGGCTTTTTCCTGCCCACAGTACAATCTGCTTGCAATACCCTGCTAACCTGAAAGCCACGGCAGGCTCCTCATCACACAACTTCTTCAAAACCTTCCTCTTTAGGTGCCTTGGAAATCCTGATGCATTGTTCACCCCCAAACACCTCCTTTGGCATGACTTCTCATATGGCAAATGACAAAATACTGTTCCTACCTCTGCATTTTTTTCTAGTAAATGAGGTAAAGCAATTAGCACAGCTGGCAGCCCACGTGCCAAATCCAGTATTTCATGAGGTATTTCACCTTTTGCTCGTCGGGAACAAGGAATGCATGCTTACACAGGAAGAGGTGCTGCAGCAGAGCATGCTGCATCCCATGAGCATGCATGAGAACCAGCCCAGGCCCCAGAGCAGTGCACCACAACAGCAATGTATTTGTATGTCTTTATCAGGAGGTGAAGAAGAGGAGAAGGATCCAATATTGAAGCCAACTCCTTTCGTACTGTCCTCTCTGTGTGAGCAAAAGTAAAGACCATGAAACTTAAAAGGAAACATCAAGCTAATTTAAATAAAGTACATCACAAAGGAAAAGATTCAATGTATGTCATAAAGGATGGATTTTTATTGTAAATAAATCAAAATGAGGATTTAATTGGTGTATTTTTCACCTGGTTGCGACTGTAAAGTTGAGCCACCTTCATCAACATGAACCCGACTGAACTAAACTCGCACAGAAAACAAAGGACACTGAGAAGTAACAGATACTTATCATTAACTTGCAGTAAGGATTCCTTATTTACAGTCATCTGGCAAGCTACCAGTAGTAGAAACAGATGCCCATATAGATATTCCTAAAGAAATACGAGTACAGACACATGAGATTACATACAAAAGAAATGTATGCAGAAATATTATCTAATCACGCGCTCTATCACATACCACATTCTTGTTATGCAACCAATTTTACTCATCTGGAGGAGTCCACTGACAAATAAGGAGCATGTTTCATATGCATTTATTCATCAAATAAAAATAACAATGGTTTCTAGATGGGAACCACCACCTTCTTTTGATTCACATGCCTCCCATACTACCTGTTCTAAACCCATCAGGTTGACAAGATTATCAAGATTGCTTAAAGAGCCAATACTTCTCTGCAGCACTTTGTTCCATGAAATACCAAAGTGGAAAACACACCAGCTTTCTCAGCCAGCTTTGGCACAGAGATAATACCATGCTCTGTGGTTAATTGCTAGCTCTTCTTCCTCCAAGGCATCGTGAGTCATCTCTACTTTTCACACTGGTGTCTTCCAAACAATTCTGGGTAAAACTGTGCTAGTTCATTCTCACCAAAGACATTATATGAGAGCACAATTACACAGAAGGGATCACATATTAAACAATATTTTAAAGCATTCCATTAAAAATGTGCAAGGCAAATATTGCAGCAACTATTAATCAACTCTAAAAATAAATTAAAAGTAGCTTCATGAAAGACATCTTGGCATTTGCTGGCACTTAAAGCATTTCCTTCAAGCATGAGCACGGCCGCAGCAGGATTTGCTCCTCTCATCCAATGGCACCTTTTCCCAGGCCTAGACAAACACATGCTAGGAGACGCTTTAAATCTTCACTTGCAGACAGTATTGTTTTTTCATTACGACAAAGCGTTACTGAGCTTGGTAGGAGAAACCACCCACTTTCAGGAACTCTCAGCGTAGTTAATATTTCTCTGCTGAACAAAAGACGCCTTGGTGCAAGGCTGTTGTTCCAGCACGGCACTCTGCTGACCTTCATTTATAAGGGGCTGCTCTGTTACAGGGTCCCGAGTTACTCTGTTTGGTTTAGGGCCAGCAAAAGGTAACAGACTGACAGCTCTAAAGATCACTGAAAAATAATCAAACGAGCAAATGAAATCACATCTCGGCTACATTCAGTAGTGAATGGGTAATATTAAAATGCAGTTTAGTTGTTCAGCTAGAATTGTGCATGCTTTTTTTTTTTAAACAAACAAAAAAAAAGTGCTGCTTACTAGATCTATGTAAAACAACTAAGCAAACAGACTGAGCAGCTCCTTTATGGCTCCCAGATTCTGGCTGCTTTAGGGATCATTGCGAGTATCTGGAGCCCCTGGGACTGCCTGCAGCCTCCCTCCCGGGTGTTCAATGGGAGCTGCCCTCAGGTGTGGCTGTTACAAGGCACCTTTTCTTTCTGTTCTCAAGAAAAGCCAGAAAATAAAGTTTCCTTCTCGACAATCCAGGGCATTGATGAGGAGAAAGTGGTGGGAGCAGAGTCTTTTCCTGGATCCCTATTCAAGTTGTACTTCAAAAAAAGCTTTGGTTTTCAAACAAACTCTTCTTCAGGGGGAAATCTGTTTGCGGGGGCGAGGTGCTGTCTTATTTTCCCCCCTCTCTCTCTCTTTGTAAATGGTGCTTTATTTTCACTGTGTGTGGGAAAAAGATGCCTGAAGTCTTTGGTAGTTCTCAACACAGGGGAAAAAAAAAAAGAAGAAAAAAAGCTCCACAGTGGGGTGAGGAGCAGTCGGAATATTTATCTGAATTATGTCACCAAAAAAAACTCAAAACACTTCATAACATGTGGAAAAGTCATTGCCCCAGTGCAGAAGGGATGTGGCATCCAAGATCACAGGAAGTTCATTACTATATTCAGACAAATTTCTCTCTATTCATGCAGTGAAAATAAATATATATTATATATTAAATACATATATATATTTAAGTTTGGCAATCACTTTTGCTATGACGGAAGTTCTCTACTGTACTAAGAAAGTTTCATTATATCCAAAAAGCATTTCAGCAACCAGCCAAGACAGGGATCAAGAGAGGAAAACACTGTTATGTTCTCCCCTATTCAGGAGAGGACCAAGCCAAGGTAAATAATTTAAGAGAGCTGTCTTCCGAAGTAAACTTTTCTTTTAGTTCATGGGTTGTTTCTACATTGCCAGCCAACTAGACATTACAATTTGTTAGGGCAGCCTGTTGAAATTAAATGGAGATGTATTTCCACCCTAATTCCAGGGAACCTTATTTCCTTTACAAATTTTTAATGCTAGGCCCTCTTGGCAATGCTGTTGCCTGCTGCTTGGCTTTCAACGCTTCCTTTTTTTTTTTTTTCTCCCTCCTCTTCCATTGGAAACCTTCACCTTCACAGCTTACTACAGAAAGCTACTCCAAGCCAGGGCAAAAAGAAAATGTTTCGGTGATAGAGCAGCAAGGACAGAGAGAAAACGAAGCATCCTGATGGAAAAGCGCCATCAGTGCCTCGCAGCTGAGGTGAGGAGACACGCTCGCTCCTTCACCAACACACCTCCCCCTGCTCTGGATGTGGCCCGAAATGCTCTCCTCGCCGCCAGCAGCGGGTCTGCTGGCCAGACGCTCATCCTTCGGGCACCGCCAGCCAGCTTTGAGCTCAGAGGGCTGTTGCCTTTGCATGTCTTCGGCAGAGGTTCCTCTGTGGCTGTCCTACAGGTTCTGCCTGTCGAGCTGGGCCTGCCGTCTCCTGGCGGGGA